GTTGTCAGAATCTTGTAATTACAATGTGAATGGTGAAATGGCACCTCTCGTGATTTACTCACCGCTTATTCCGGCTTCTTAAGGATGCCAGGCTGAAGATAGGCTGTGCTCCTGCCGAATAATAGATGACGAGCTACCTCGGGGTCCAAAGACGGACGCAGGTTAAATTTTCAGCGTGTCAACTGAGGTTGTTACTACGAGCCCGGTTAGTAAATCGGCGAGGAGACGTTCAACCGGCGCAAAATCTGATCAATGTGAGAGGCGCATTTCGCGAGAAACGTTATGTCTATTCGCGCATCGCGGAGATTCGATCGCTCGTCCGAAATCGCTTGCATGATTGAAAGGGCTCCATTGACTAATTACAAATTAATTACGGCTGCCTCATTACAATTTAAAGTATGCAGTCTCGTTAATCGATTCGTTGTGTAATTCATTTACTTGTGAATAATTAATTATTTATCTCATTTCGAACTTTCAATAATTTATCAGCTAGCGAAACGAGCAAAGAGTCGCAATTGTTTGTTCGGTCCGTTATTATTAAAATAATACCCGGTCTGATGTGAGTAAGCATTGATTGGTATCGTAAGAGAGACTCATAGAAATAACACACACTCACGTCTGCGCCTGGCTTTCGTGCAAATAAAACATCCGTCAATGACTATCGTTTTTCACGCAAATTAATAATTGCTCATCGTTATTTCCTCTGCTCGTACAGTCGTAGACAGAAAGGTTGTCCCGTTCCCTAGGCCATAGTGATATCGGAAATTTCGAATTTGGAGTATCATTTCTCATTATTCGTGCATCATGACTGCTGATTATTCTGGTTACTTTCCAACAAAAGACTCAAGTCGACATAAGTATAGTTGTACCACCTATCGTCCCTTTTTTACCAAATATGAAATAAGAATAAATGATGGTATAACTAGACTTTTGTTGATTTGTGTCTTTTGTAAGGAAGTAACCTTTGTGAACCGGCAAGGATATTCCAAAGCAGCAGTCATGATGCACAAATATTCAAAAATGATGCGCCTAATTTGACATTTTTGATATCTATGCTTAGGAAATAACAACCTTTTTGTCCACGACTGTATCTGTATCATCGAAATATCATACTGTCACAAGCGGGAAAGAAAACTCGCAGCTGACCATCACCCATAATTATTCGTCGACGCGAAAACTTCGCGAGATTCTCAGAAATATTTGTCACTAGAATATAATCCAATATCGTAGATAAAACGTACGAAAGCCGAAGATAGTCGTAGGAAATTCGGCCGATCGCTCGAGCTTAATCCGTTTTTCAGCTGATTCTCTCGCCGGAGATAAACATCTGAAATGAATTCGGCTTCTCCAGGAGGGGGGAGGGGGGAAAGACGGAGGGCAGCGGAGAGGCGACCCGGCCGGTGGAGGTTAGTGGTAGATGGCTAAATTAAGAGCGGAAAAGAAGGGAGCAGCCTCGGGCGAAGCCCGAATCGAGAGGAACGAGTCGAACGCCCGTAATGCGAGGCGCTTAAAGTTGCAATGGGTCTCCCGGGTATAGAGTACACGGGGGTCATGGCGGGGGTGGATGTGAGCGGCAGGGGTGAGCGGCGGGTGACTGACTGACTGGAACCGAAAAGAGATGCGACCCGCCTAAGAGATTGGGATCTCCGCGAATCCGAGAATGCCCGCCGGGACGAAAGCCCGAACTTGCCTGCGACGCCCTCCGCTGCCGTAGGTGACTGCCTTCTCTCTCTCTCTCTCTTTTCCTTGATCGTCCCGGTCGTGATAAGCACGGCCTTGGAAAATACGCGTGCGAAGGGGTTGAAACGGCTTGCTTTTAATTCGCGGTGATCCCGGAGCTTTGGTTTTGGAAGGTCGGCTCCGTCGTCCTTGCTTCCCCTTTCGAGCTTTCGACCCTTCGCGATGCTACGCCGAAGTAAAGACGTTCATGCATAATCCTGCGACTACGTATCGGCGAATCTTCGAGAGGAATTGGAACGTCTCCTTTTTTAACAATTCATGCTGCAACAATTAAACTGAAGCGAGAAACGCGAATTTAAACTTTCACGTTGGCACATTTAAATCCGAGAGTTTCTTTCGATAGTTCAACAGACATTCACGTAATTGCTGGATTGTCTAAAGTCTCTTGTGACTCTTCAGAAATTAGTTGCAAGAGCCAGCGAATTATTTTCTTATGCTGCCATTGCATTCTTCAAAGCATATCCCAGTTAACCGTACCATCAACAGTTAGTCCCAATGAATCTTGGCGGGCTCTGCCGCGTTGCGGGCAAAGTACTATTTTCATTTCAAATGTAGTAGAAGACGGCGGAGAAGACAAAGAGAGACAGAGAGAGACAAGAGAGGGGGGAAAGAGAGAGAGAGAGAAGAAGGAGAGAGACTAGAGAGCTAACTTGAAGGGTTAATTAAGTGTTTGCTCGTCCGACAAGCTCGGCTTGCGCATCTCTAAGTACAAACTACTGCCACACATACGAATGGCGTCTGGTAACCGCCATTAAATCTAGTCCTTTCATACTGCAGCACAGTTGCTACACATTCCCTTTGTGCGTCGCACACGCGAACTTATCGCGATCTAAACCCCGTTGCAGGATGAAGCGCTGGCGAAGGGGAAAAAGGTAACGCGGCTGTGGCAATTTGCGCTCCGTGCGCGTCTAATTCGCAGTTGCCTCTCGCCAAGCGGTGCGTTATTTACAGTTATACGACAAGAGCCTGCCGAAGGGAGCTTCTGGTACTATCTGACTTTTTACAACGAGAGGAATCCGGTCGTCGTGATCATTCAATTCAAGAAACACACTAACAATTGCATAATGTAAGTTCTCAGGATTTGTTCGATCGATAAAAAGATTGCAAATTATTCATTTCGTTTCGCAATTACGAGCCGAATTTGTGATTGCCTGAGCAGCGTCGCTTTGTCATCGGAAAGATCTCGACAACAGTGAACTCAAGATCCCTTTTATAAGATTCACCAATACATTTATATCCGACAAGCTTTATCGGACAAAGTTTCCCGGTAATGATGCTTCGATCAGAAAATGAAGAAGCGGGCGATCGCTCGAATCCTGCGGCGAAGTGTACGTCAGATGCGTTGGTGAGACACACGCTTGGAAGCCATACAGAAGGAGGAGAGAGATAGACGGCCGAGCCCTTTGGCGGACGTATCGCAGGACGGAAGCTAGCACTAAAGGGACACATTTACGTCTTCCCAGGAGTGCGCTAGCTAGCTGGCTAGCCGTCGGCCAAGCTGGCCCACCCTCTCTGTCGACCACCCCTTTTCGCCGCCCCGAGTCGACCAGAGCCGGTCAACTTCGCCTGTCCCAGACTAAGCCCGATCTCTCTGTTAGCCCGCGCTAATCGAATCACCGCGTATAAGCGTATGTCAAATTCGCGGAAACTCGTTAGCCATCATGAAAGCGGTAATCCCCCAATTATTGCGGAGTCATCGGGGAGCTGAACCACGGGCCGAGCTAGACGAAAGGAGAGCCTCGCGAATTTCCGGCGGGCTAACGACATCGACACCGGGGCTTTTCCGCGAGATCTCCTCGACGACAGATCGAACGGTCTTCTACCAGCTCGGCGAACGGCACCCTTCCGATTAGCGTCGAAACGAGAAACGGTAAACGTTAGAACTCGGCGCGACGATCGCGAAAGCCAGAAAGTGCGATCGATTCGCGGAAATGAGCGATTATTACCGGAGGACTCGCAAATTGAAACCTGAGGAAAGAAGAAAGTTAAAAATTACTCTCGCGAGTCTCGTTCACGTAATGATTTGCCTTAATCTCACGTTAATAACATCGCGATCGCTCAATAATGATCATTATTTACGATCGATCGATTCAGCGAGGAAGTCGCGATGCGTACGACTGATCGTAGCATCTGCTCAGCACTGATTTATCTGCTGTGACTATTCCATCCGGCACGGCCGAGCCAAAGAGAGATTAGTCAACTTAAGTCGGTTCAATCCCTCCGTCCCTTACCAAAGCTTCGACTGCTACAAGGTAATCGAGTTACGGTAAGCATATGTCGAATGCATGAGACCATTGTATCTGTGACTCGCGCACCGAGAAGGCAACCGAAAGCACTATCTGTTCGCAGCTCGGCTGCGGCGTAACATGATTTCTCTAATACTCGGAGCTTCGCATTGGCACATTAGCCGCGTTTCGCATTCGACAATATGTACTACGTGAAAAAATTACACACCAAACGACGATCTCAGCGACTCGAGTGAACGATATTCCATCGACTTTCTATTATCTCTACTTTCTTTTTTGAATATTTGAAAAGACGAGATAGTTATTTATCGTTCTCAGGCGAAATTTATCATTTTGTTGGAAATATTCGCAATCAGGGCAGAACCGGCGGAAAACATGTCGACCTAAATGCATCGACGCTGTTCAATAATTGATCAGCCAGCGAAAGAGTCGTTTGTTCGGTCCGTTGTTATTAAAATAATAATAAATAATACCCGGTCTTATTGATTGATATAATAGGAGAGAAATCTCGGGCTATTTGAGCATAAGAAGATGGCTCCTCTCTTAGGTCAATTCTACTTTGCCCGATCTCTTCGTTGTCAAAGCGGAAACCTCCGTACTGTTCGAAGTCTCGTCCGAACATCGTAACTCAAAGTTTCTCGTAAAGTCTCTTTAAATTCTTCCTTGTCTCAAACCTACCTACCGCCATTCAAGGATCTTACCCCCGAATTTCTTGCCGGTCGAAACGAGCAATTTTAAACGCGAAGGGCTCCCTTTTTATCGCCCAATAGGGTGCCTATTAGACTCTTCAGATTAGTAAGAACCGCCTTTATGTAATCTCGGCGATTCCAGACGCGCTCAATTATCGCGGGACGAAAGGATAATTGAAGTTAAAAGTCCGAACGCGGTAAGAGGCATCTTTTCCACCCTCCCGTCAAGTTACAAGAGAATTTGACTAATCTGTACAAGAGAGCAGTATATATTGCGCAGTTGATTTGGGATTTATCGAACTTAAAATGAAGAGAAATGACTCACCGCTGTCGAGACTGTTCTGATTTTCCAAATCGGGACCTTGGACAGAAGTTGGCCTGGCATCTTGCAAGTAATCTGAAACGGAAAAAATAAGTATACGATTAGCAGACTATCGCAGATGGTTATGTATTCAAATGTGAGCAATGCATTTAATTGACCATGATTATGCAAGGAGGATCCTACCCACAAAATTATGATTTTTGAGATTTTGTTGCTGATAGTCTATATAAAATGTCTATATAAAATATGTCTTTTTACATAAAACAAAAAACCAAGTCTTTTGTATGCTTGAAGTTAACTAAAAAAAACAGTTTTTATTTTCTACTAATTGTGCCGTCTTTTATTAAACTGAGAGAAAGGTACTTAAACATTTATTTGTCGGATATAAAGTTTATTTTACAGAAATAAACCTTATTTCACAGAAATAAACTTTATTTCTGTAAAATAAACTTTATATTCCATAAATAAATTTTTAAATGTTTTTTTCTTAGCGTACTTTCGTCTTTTTTATCAATTTTTTAAGGATTAATTTTGTTAGTGAATATCCTTAGATATCCTTAAAGAGAAGAAAATAAACTATACTTTTTAAGGGATCGTGAAGAATATCAGTGTTATTTATATGTTTTAAACCATGTATCAGATTTTCATCTTCATTTTTTCCGAAACGTACTCCATGTGGGGTTGTTGCTTATCTACGGCGAATTAACCTAAATTATCTCGAATCACTCGCAAAGACGAGCCCGGAGTAACAATAGAAATTTCGCGGATCTCGTTTTGAAAGAGTGCAGGGCGTTCTCGCACCGCCGTCGAAAAGGAGATCTAAATCTCGCGGTCGGCAGGAGCTCGCACGTTTAAGGTTCAAGACTCGGATTTGATAAAGACACGGGGCTAAATCATTTTCGTCGTATCATTCGTCCCTCGCCGTCCGGCCGTCGAGGGTGGCGAGATCCGTAACCTGCTCGCAGGCGGGCCCTTAATAGGGATTCCGCATTGAAATTTCATGGGATTTCGGGCGATCGAGCGGAACGAGCTCGGAGATACGCGCGGCGGCCTATGCCGCCGCAGATGATGCCGCTTGCGCGGACGCGAATAATACGGGAAAGGGTGGAAAAGAGCGGCGCTGATCCCGCGGGAGCCATACCCCGGTGATATTGGCTCCCACAGCCCATTCCTGCGCATAGGAGACCGAACCGCCTTGGACCGGCATACATACACACGTACATAGTGTGCGCACATGTACGCACACGCGAAGGAAGTCCGGCCAAAATTCAAATTTCCCACCGGGATACGCGCGACTTTAAGCACAACTTGCGGGAAACAACCAACGCGTCTGCTCGCGTCGATAATCGAACTTTACGTTCTCGCGTTGATAGGGCGAAAAAAAAGGAAAAATTACGTTCGTCTCGTCGCGCGTCTCCGACGGACGCGGCGTGCTGTTTATCGCGCGGTTTTATTTGCACGCCGATGATAAAACACTCGCGGTCTCCCCTCCCCCCGCATATCCCGCGTGTATCGTGGGATTATTTTTATTAGCTGCCGTAACACATCGGGTGGGACGAGCAATCGCTCACAGGAGATTGAGGTGAACTCTTGTTCGTAGAGGTAGCCCGATTAACTTTTAATCCGGCGCGTAATGTTTCGCAAGTTATCCTAGAATTTCCTCAGACCCTTTATCCTTGCGGACGTACAAGGGATGGAAAAAATAATGCAAATACCTATAGGGCCTACCATTTGATTTCACTTTCTATATTTCTTATAAGTTGTTAATAGGTTACTTCTAGAAGTACAAGATAAAGTTTAGACTTGTTAGATTTATTAATAGATCTTAACATAAGACGCGAAAAATATGGTACTGGATATGTATAAACACGTACATAATTGTTGTTTGAATATATACGTATTTTACAATTGTTTGGTCTTGCATTTTCTAAACTATATTTTATCATCTATTTAATGAGTTGCAATCATGTTAACTATATACAGGGTGTTGAATTTTAAACATAACATTTAAATTAATGGAATTTTCTTGCAAAGAGAAAAAGAATTTGTTTGACTTTGTTTCTATGTAAAAATGCTTTCTTTCTCTAAAATTTTCTTTCTTATTTGAAGATTTATTAATAAGTTTATTTTTTTTTGCTTCGTTAAAGTATATTTTTTCCTTTCTGAGTCCTTATTTTCGTCATTTCTTCTGATCTCATTGGGTGCATAGTCATTGAATTTGTCGTGAAAAAGACTATAAATGTAAGTATTTAAAAAATTAGAGTTCTATTTAAAAAAGTGAATTTGATCGCCTCACTTTGACGTCTCTACTCAAAGTCAAATATTTCTTTACTAAAATTTCTCTCCCCAAATAATACAATCTAAAAAATCGGACTTCGATATCTCATTTAGTATTCGAAATAATCGGCTTATTAGGTTTGAAATTTAATACCCTGTTTAATTATTCAGTAATACCAAAAAGTTAATTTATGTACAAGGGTACGGATGTATATGCTTTTTGCACCTGAACGATGGATCATATATATCGGGACTGTCGTGTGTTCTTAGTTCGGTTTTTATTAATTAATTAAGTGTAGCGGTTGCAAAAATTGTATATTAGTGCAAGTTAGAAAGAGGAATGTCAGGCTTTAATATAAGCTTTATCTCATACTGATAGAAATATTCTATTAAGAGATATAAAATTTTAAATAATGGAATCAAATGATGGCCCCTATACTGAGAAAGAAGACTTAAAAATCTATTTCTTAAACATAAAGTTTATTTCACATAAATAAACATTTACTTAAATACGGCGAAATAAAATTTTATTCCTAGCAAATAAACCAATTAATAAGAAAACTTGAATATATTTCACAAAAATATACATTCCGTTATTACAGTTAAATTTTTTCTAACCATTTTCTAAATATCGCAAAAATGTCACAAGAAACATTTATTTCGCAAAATTTCAATTTCTTTCTCCGAGTGTATAGGCGTTGACATTATTTTATCCATCTCCTGAATGTAGAATTGGCTACGATAATTCAAATGAAGAGTTGACATTGAAGTTACGCGAAGAGAAATATTAACAACAGGGGGAACATGTCCGCACACTTTTTTCTCAGCCAGGTGCGTCTCACGCGAGCGCAACACCGTCAACAATTAAGTCCTCCGCGAGTCGCTCGAATCGTCTACTCGCGGATCGCGATCCTTGGTTCATTTCTTTCTCGCTCCCTCGTGTTATTTCCGTGTCGCGCGAATAACTCATTGATAAGATACCGAAGGACCGCAGCGGAATAAAACGTTAAGACCGCGAAACGAAAAGCCGGGCACTCAAGCTGCTGGAATTATCATCGCTCGTAAGTCACAGCGCGAACATTGCAGCTGCAACTGCGGCGCAACGGCGCGCGGTTCGCGGCGCTTCGGGGACGAGATAACTCGTATAAATAACCCGGAAGTCCGCGGTGCACAATAGTCCTTTTTTACGGGTATGACTTTTGGGAGTTCCAAGGCCGCGCTTGGGACGCCGCGTTGGTAATCAGTTTGTCGTTGTTACCGAAACGCACCGAGCGGCCCAAAAACAGAAAGGAAAAAAAGGACAGAAGGAGAGAAAGAGAGAGAGAGAGGGGGGGAAGAGGGAAGGCTGCTTCACTTCGAGACGCGATCGCGTGAATTTTTGGCGGCGTCCTAGATTGCGCGCCGAATATTTAATTCGCGCGCGAACCCCGGGAAATCGCGAGGCTCTCTCCCTCGTTCGCGAAATCGTTTCCATATCGCGTCATCCGATATCCTAAATCGAACTATTACACCCGATATTCCGCGCGGCGAGAATGTTATCGAGTGTTACGCGCGTTGCAAACGTAAAATCGTAATATCCTTGTATTATTGCGTGGCGCTTTCGCGGCGTTTCGGCATGCGCGCGTACGACGCAACAAATAAATTTACCAATTAAAAAACGAATTTGTGCCGCAGTGGCATCGCGCGACGCAGCAACGCGAAATATAAAATAAAAATTTCAGCCGGAATATACATATAAAAGTGCCGCCGTGGAAAAAACAAACTCCGCGTGAGTCTCCCCGTTCGTTCGCGCGATGCGAAACGGAATACGGGAAATTGGGGGAAAAAAGAAATGCAGACGTTCTTTCGCGAAAAATAATCATTCTTGTTCTCTCTCTCTATCTATCTATCTATCTTTCTCTCTCTCTCTCTCTCTTAGTTGAGAAAAGAGAGACGGTAAAACGCGAAAACAGCATAACTCGCGACGATGCTGCGCGCTAATGTTCATGGTAGTATTTATTATTTTATTCCCCGTTCTTACATACAAAAAACTAATCCCACCGCGTTTATTTCTAAAGCATACGTTATTCATATTTGCATTTCTCCTGCGCGGATAAATTCTTGTTTTGTGCGGAAGCGTATGCGCATAATACGACGCAATACGACCGACATCGCCCGCCACCACGGTCCTTTGATACGGATAACGGATTTTTTTTTGTGGGGGGATTTTTTCCCTCTCTTTTTTTTGCTTTTCGCGCGATGCTCTCCGCAAGAAAAATATTTCAATCGGTTCCGCCGGATAAAAACGAAAAAATACGACCCCAATTTCTACACGGATCCTCACGATGCGACATAGGCTAAACGCACCAGCGGTCAGATATTACGCGTAAATACTGGAATCGATTGCATCGCAACATCCAGCATCATTTTTCACGCGCCGCGCTGTCGTCAGTGTATGTATACACCTGTATATATGTACTTACATATGTATATATATACATACATACATATATATGCGTATGTATATGAATTTTGGGAATTCGACGGCCGGAGCGAAGCTGTTGGGAACCGGTTTTGGTTTTGTATTAGCATGTAACTCCGGCAGGAGTTGAAGTTGCGATGGCTTGTGGGTGGTCGGGCGGCGGCAGGGAGGGTAATTACCTCCTTGGGGAGCTCCCTCTCCACGGCGTAGCCCGGTATAGCCCCAGCACGGGTACAGAGGCTTCCCACTGCTCCCAGTGGTCCCGCGGGATCGCGCCAGTGGCTCTCACGGTCGCGGTTCTCATTCGATGCTGGAATTCGATCCCGACCAACGTGTG